GATAAACATATTTTTAAAAAACTTCATGGCACAATTTTAGGTACATATATATATATATATATATATATATATATATATATATATATATATATATATATATATATATATATATATATATATATATATATATATGCTTTCTAAAATGGTCCGTTAACTCTGATCGTATAGTTACGAATTCGAACCCGATGATAATCATAATAAGTTAGATAACAGCCAAAATTGATCCATATAGTACATATGCATTAAATAACACTGACTAACGACAGTACAAGCATTTCCCAACAATTGTCTTAGAATTCATAATCGTTGCAGCTGGAGGACTGGACCAAACAAGAGATTCAAGAAGACAAGACAAGCAAAGAGTTCGTCATCGTTGTTTTCTAAAATTTTTATGATTTTATATCGCACACGAAAATCTGGGGTAATTTTAGCTGGTTCAAGTGTCATACGCGCGCACCGGTAACGTCAAGTTATTTTTCCTCATCACGTGTTTATACTAAAGCAGAAGTCGTACAGGTCATGGATGCAATCGGTAACAACTGTTTCAGCTATTCCTGTCAGTTTTTATAATGTGATTACAGACACATTTGAATGTCGAGTAGTCACTTTTTTTCCTCCTCCTTACATAAACCGTGGAAGTTCATTATCTAAGCGGCAAGAGAAATACATTCGACAAAATCAACATTAAAGTAAGTCGACAATGTTAGACAAACAATAATTGTTGTTATTGTTTTGTCATGTCACACTATCATCATACAATGAAAACAAAACTGAAGCACACACACCCCTGCACTTGTAATAAATCTAATGATTATATCCGACGTCCACTTTTCTTGATCGAGTTTAGTGTCATTTTGACATTGTAAAAATATATACTGATCGATAAAACAAATTTCCTGGAAGTTTCGTGATGACATTTAAGATGCAAATTACTCAAATTTGGAAAGAACAGTTATTAGTAAAACCGCCTGAGTATTATATTTTTGAAAATTAATTCACATTTTAAAGGCGTCTACAAGACTACATCAACCGGAAATGACGTACATTTTTCTCCACAAGCCGAATTACATGCTTCTTGTTGTCGAAAAATAAAACACAATAAATTATGGATTGGGAATATATAGACCATATTATTTAAAACGGATTTACTGTTCAGCCTCATATCGATGTGCGTGCACGATGCGTTAGATTGTATCACTTTCAAAACGCTTCCATTGTTTTAAATTATTTCCAAAATTAACGTTGATACTGGTAAAAAGGTAGCATCAGCACACTTGAAAAAAAAAATCAAAAGGAACCAAAGTTGGTTTTCTTATGTCTGCCGACTTTATTAAGAAGAATAAAAATCGGCACACTTAAAATAATCCAAAGTCAGTTTCCGGGCTTGGCTTCCTTTGTAAAATAAATAACATTTGTATTTGTTATCCTGTAGTTTAAGCAAAGAGTTTATTGCTCGCTGTCAGTTGTTTTTATTCAACACTCGGGCTTCTATTTGTTTGCCCTATATAATCATGATTGATATCAATGGGTTTTGTTTAAGCTATTTTGCTGAACCATGCTGGGGGAGGGGGGGGATAGGCACAAATTCGATCACAAAATTATTTCGTTTCTTAAGCCTTTCTTAAGCCTTTGGACATATACCCTTGATGAAAAAGTTTAAGAAACTGAGAAACTGGATATACTATATAACCTTATTTGCTGATATAATATTTAAATTTATATATGTAACGAATGAAAGCCTAGAACACTAAAACAACAGATCTAAACTATGGATTAACTTATCTGGTTATCATACAAATGATACGCAAAAAGTTTAAATATCAAAATATAACTTTTTACTTTTCTTAAAGGCTAATTTTTAATTTTATAAATGGGACTTTTACGCTAAGGCGAGTAATTTTATAGGACCCTGTACTTTAAAAATTAGCAATATTTTTCCCTTTGTATTCTTGTCTTCCTCAACTGACTTGTTTAACTATTCAATAGTGGATTTTTGTATTCCCTATTTTTTGTTTTCCTTATTTCTTCATCGTCCTGTCCCTAGATTCCCAATAAAGATCATATTAAATTCCATGGCATGAATAAGAATTTATCAAATATGCTCTTGCAATGGATGAAACACAATATAATAGTGTATTATTATTCGTTTGATCTTTAATGAAGGAAAGGTGTATTACGAAGAAATGGGCACATTCATGTTATACATATCTAGAAAGGGTGAACAGTTAAGATGTCAGCTTCCAATTCGATAGCTACAAAAAGGTGGAGGTAATTTGCTGTATTCATTGGATAGGACAAAAGAAGAACATCATGTGTTTAATCGGCCCGTTTACAAGCATATACAATAAAATACTGAAAAGTAATAATAGATTCCGACTACATTTTAAGCAATCAGCAAAAAATAGGTGGACATAACGAAGCTAGTAACGACAAAAGGGAAGTGCTGACAATAAGTTCGTACAATCGCACAATCAGACAGTTATTAAAAAAATGATGAGGAAACAAGGTAGCAGGATAAATAGTTTATATTGCAATATATTAATAATAGATTCTGACTACATTTTAAGCAATGAGCAAAAAATAGGTGAGAATAACGAAACTAGCAACGACAAAAGGGAAGTGCTGACAATAAGTTCGTACAATCGCACAATCAGACAGTTAATAAAAAACTGATGAGGAAACAAAAGTAGCAGGATAAATAGTTTATATTGCAATATATTAATAATAGATTCTAACTTTATTTTAAGCAATGAGCAAAAAATAGGTGAGCATAACGAGGTTAGCAACGACAAATGGGAAGTGCTGACAATAAGTTCGTACAATCGTAAAATCAGACAGTTAATAAAAAAAATGATGAGGAAACAAAAGTAGCAGGATAAATAGTATATATATATATAAATATATATAAATATATATATATATATATATATAAATATATATATATATATATATATATATATATATATATGTGTGTGTGTGTATATATATATATATATATATATAAATATATATAAATATATATATATATAAATATATATATATATATTTATATATATATATATATATATATATATATATATATATATATATATATATATATATATATATATATATATATATAGAGAGAGAGAGAGAGAGAGAGAGAGAGGTAATATAATTAACATAAACAAATATTGGTTCTGAAAATAAAATACAGAACCAAAATTAAATGTATTTTTATGACATTTTTCACGAAGGAAATGTTAATAAAGTAATTTCTCTGAAAGAGAATTCAAAGATTTTTAAAATGCAGTTCGAAATACTTGAATCGACAATTAAATAAATTAAAATAGATATTGAATTGTATGACATGGATATATAGCAAACAATAGAGATGTGGGTAAAGTAGCACAGGCAAAAGAAGATTTATTTTTTCTATATATTTTGCAAACTTATGAAAAAGAGCACATATAGCATAATTAGAAAATAACATTCGAATATATATTAACATCAAGATTTAAGGAAAAGTTACCATTACGTGAAAAGTTATAGTCTATATCAACTGCTTATAGAATAATGTGCAAAAATGTCTATTGTTTGTGCAGCTATTCATATTATCGCAGTACTTGATCTAAAATTTTGTATCCAGTAACTGAAAGATGTCTTTAACGATGGTAGAGGTAGCGATATCGGTAAATTCAAAGATCACGTATTGATAAATTTAAAAGAGCTATTAAACATATCGCCTGTATTTGTTTCGGTTATGTAAAATGACGCGGAAATATTGAATTCCTCTTTTTTACTTTAAATAGAAAAGATATTTGTTTCTGGCTGGAAAGGACATTTTTAATACATGTATTAACTAGCTTGTTCTTTGCAATTATCTTAAAAAGTTTATTTTTGGTAACTAAAGAATATAAAGAAAAAGGGCTCCAAGAATAAATAACTTAGCTACTCGGTTAATAAATTTCAGAAACTACATTAGACTAGATACTAAAGTCATGAACGTATTAATAAATATTTGTGTATTTGTTATATCGTTTTAAATCATGAGGTTTATGAAGGTCTTTTTTATAAGTGTCTTGATCGTAAGTAATATAGCTGTACTTATTTGTCTTTATTATGGGTATTATTATCGGTATTATAGATACTATATTTGTAGATACTGTAATCATAGATCCTTTCGCCATTTTTATTATTCTTATCTACATAAGAATTACTAGTCTCTTCTTAAGTTACATCCGTTACTAAATGATCTTTATTAATGCAACTGTTTCAATGAATTATTACCATATTACTAGTTTGTAGAAATTTGCCATCAACTGCATAGAGTCTTAAATATTTTTCTAAACATTATTGTTATATTTTCATCTCACTCATATAGTCGCTTAACGAAACTTAATTTTTCAACAATATGATGTGGAGTGTCTGGAAAAGTGGAAATTAAAGTGTAATAGTTGTTCTATTTTGCTTTTTAGCACGCGAAATGCAAGTCAGACTTGGGCTAATAGTATGCATTTATCTAGATATTCATTCGCGGGTTTTCTCCTTTGATATTTTGTAAAAAAAAAAAGTTCATCTTTATATATTTTTCATCAGAACTTAGTTAGGCTTCCGTGTGCACATTACAATTATTTCATCAGCTGACATTTTCCTCCAGTATTCAACTGTTCAAGTTCTATATTTAGATTTGTAGGCTCTTAAGACATCAGCTTTTGTAGGTTCTCCAATTTCTAAAGCTTTATGTACTACAGAAACATTGTCAGTAAGATAAATCTTTTCTCCAAAAATATATACTTTCAGTCTTGATGTTGAATATTGACTTGTTACAAATTAAGTGAAACTGTTTTGTTCTATATTGTTTTTGATATTATTAATTAGGTAACGGTTTAGTAGGTAAAAAGTCGGAACTGCAATTGCTGCCTTAGTATAGAGGTGTGTGTGTGTGTGTGTGTGTGTGTGTGTGTGTGTGTGTGTGTGTGTGTGTGTGTGTTGGTATTTATTATATAATATATGCACTTGACCGCTCCGGGAGCCTAGTAGTTAGAGCGTCGACCTCAGATGTTGAAGGTCACTGGTTCAAATCCCGACCGAGTCACACCAAAATTTTTTAAAAAGGTACTAACAACTGTCTCATTATGCGTTCAGTATTGAAAAAGGTTAGTGTTAGGACTGGTCGACCTGGTGTCAGGATAATGTGACTAAGTGGGATATCACGTGACCTTTCTGCGGCATGATTCCTCAGTGCTAGACGTTGCTATAAACTGCCACGTTTCAGACATTGTAGCGATCTGACAGGAAAATCGTTAAAGCTAGGTATATATATATATATATATATATATATATATATATATATATATATATATATATATATATATATATATATATATATATATATATATATATGTGTGTGTGTGTGTCTGTGTGTCTGTGTGTATATATATATATATATATATATATATATATATATATATATATATATATATATATATATATATATATATATATATATATATATATATATATATATATATATATCAGCTTTTGCCAGAGCATTCTGGACAGGCTTAAAACCGTCTGCAAATCTTTGAACACATGCAACGTAGTATTATCTCATCTCAATATTTGTGCCTCTGTTTATTTTGTATATATCAAGATTCAAACGAACATCTTGGAATATTACTTCAGTTTGCATATTTTTGATTCATCCTTTTGTCTTTTAGTGGCCTAGTCGATCATAGTTTGTTGTTCATACTCCAAAAGAAAGCGTTTAAAGAAAATGTGTTCAGAATAATTACGTTCAGAATTTGAAAATAGGCAATACATTATAAAAGAAACAAATACGGTAATTTCGAATTGAAACCGTTGATGTCCATAAACCATTTTGTTTATGTTTGCCCTCATTTGAGTGATACGTCCTTGTCTATTCATTCAAATTGAAGCCTTTCCATAAATAACACTGAAGAAACAAACTATGTCCCTTGTGATGAGATTAAATTTTGTGAGCGAAATTAATAAAATCAACAAGTTTGTGTTGTGTACATATGAGAAGAAATTCCTGAGATGATTGTGCTGGTGTTTACCTAAGAAGTTTCTGCCAGAGTGCATGTGAATTGTATAACAACCGTATTACAAATAAAGCATGAAATCAGTGTGTACGTTTATGCGTATGTCTGTCTTATCTAACATCGTGCGATTGTGACGAATTGTTGAATCCTGCGACTTATTGCAAATGCTATACCGATTTTGAATTCCAAGTTGGAAAATCTGGTGACTATCTGCAACTGCAGTGAAACTAAAAGGCATAGTGTTGCTATGGTGACGATTTTGATAGCTCCAGTATGTCAGTCAGCCCTATATTCAGGAACAGTCTAACTAATCATCTATCTCCAACCGATCTCCAGCTAATGGAGACAATTAAATCCCGGGAATAAACGCCCATAAACGGGGTTTACGATGCTGGATATGTCGTGCAACAGGACCGCAGTGCTCTAACTAGTCCCTTGATCGATGTCATTACGGTCTGAGGAACTTCATGCTTTAAGTCCTTCATGCAATCGCTATACTGCTATGGTATCAAATCGTATCGCCGACTGCTTCGCAGCAGAACATTGGACTTTATAACTACAGATACGATGGCCGATAGCTGTCAACAAAATACAACATCAAAGCAACATTTTGTACATGACAGATCTGCACCTTAAAGCAAGAGAAATATGTACATGTAAGCATTTTCCTCAAATGTGTTCATGTACAAATCTGCATGATATTACTATCCAGCAACTAACTTTTGTGTCTTTTTCCTTGTAGTCGTTATTATCTGATTTGTCATACACCGTTGGCTACAGACAAAGAAGACACTCTTCGACAAATGAAAATGTAGGTACATGTATGTAGAGGTTGTTTAAGCCAGAGAGATGTGTCTGAGCTAGTGGTCAAATATGGTTTAAATAAATTTTTATATCACTGGGATTTTCTCATGCTTTCTTGCTAACCATTGCAAATTGATTCAAACGAACAAATAAATAAGCCACGAAGTTAAATCCTTATCAGAAAGGTGAATTGTTCTTCCTAATTTATTACTGCGCGTGGAGTGTCGTTAATTGGTTTTATTTGTAAGAAAGATTTGTAAAAGTACACCTTTGAAGAAAACGTGTTCATGTACAAATTTTCTTACTTTGATATATAGACCTGTCATGTACATGTTACTTTGACATTGTATTCAGTCGGCCGCTACCAGTCATCGTAACCAGAAGATAACAGCAGTAATACTAAAACATCTCGACCAATGTGGGTGTGTGAGAAAGGTTGTCGGTCGCCGTGAGTAGGTGGTTCTTACTGGTGTATTTTTAGTACTAATATTAGCACCCTTAATCCTACCTTGTGGACAAGGTACTAACATGAGTATGTTTGTCAATGGAAAAATATAAAAACTTTTGAACATGTTCTTTGATATATAATTAAATAAATTGAGTAGTCCTCTTATTTAACACTGGAATTATCGCAAATCATTGTATAAATATTTGTAAAATCTCGTTTGCCTTTCTAATCCGATATTTTCGTTTTGATCGTCCGCCATTTTAGTTCAAATAATGCCTATTCCGTTCTCAGCCTCGTTTGTTTGTGTGCCATATAAAGACGTTAAGGCCTTATTTGAAAACGTAAACAGATCGTAGTAAAAATATGGTGCAGTTTGAGTCGGAAATTCTGCGCAGCCTCAACTTGTTTTGTTGTGGTTAAGGCTACGAACGGATCCCATATAATGTAATGGAACAAAAAAATATCCTCAATAAAGTCAGAAACACATAGTTTAGAAATCTACTAAATAAATAAGTATGATCATTTTGTCAAATAAGGTTTGCTTTTTTTAATTTATTAAGCCCTTACACGGTAAAATAAATTGGCATAGTTACGCTAACCTCACCGTGTCCACCATGACAGATAACGCGAGACTCTCGCCGTGACCCCTTTTCTACATAAGGCTTGCCAGACTATTTATTTGTTAAATGACATAACTCGAAAAGAAGGAGAATGGATACTTGCATAAATTGCAGAATACAGTTTTTATTGAGAAAATAATTGCTTCTAAAAATATATTATATATATATATATATATATATATATATATATATATATATATATATATATATATACTATAAAGATATATATATATATATATATATATATATATATATATATATATATATATATATATATATATATATATATATATATATATATATATATCTTTTATATTGTGTGTGTGTGTTGCAGGGTCGTGAATAAAATTAATATGAAAACTAATATAAACTAATATCTTAGTATTGAAATTCATTGTTCAATCTGGATAAAAAAAAATATTTTTGTAGTAGAAGATCTTGTGGCTCAAACATTAGCAACTAAGTAGTGACCAGTTACATTTTACAATATAAATGTCATATTGATTTGGAGGAGGAGCTAGAATATTTACCCAGGTCTTGATTGGTCCCATTGTATTAAAGATGTCATGACGCAAAATCTGCAAATATTGACATTTAACTCAATCCCATTCAACCACCCGTTCAAAGGCAATTACTTCTCATTGGCGTCTGTTGAATGGAGTAGTATATGTTATCAATCTACATTCTGATGCATTACATAGACGTCGTTGAAAGAATTATAGATTACCTTGGATTGCTAGTGGTATTATACAGTCAAAAGCAATATACGTGTTTTGTGTCCAGTCAGTGGCTAGAAACAATTGTAAATGCTGCAAGGATAGATCAGGGTCATCAGACTGACTCGTACTATATATCAAACGAGTTGTTTGCGTAGATACGATATTAAATATCAATGTGTGCTGGACAAAGCACATTTAATTAGATAACGTCCAGTGAGACTGGAAATATTAAAGGTAATAGACACACTGTTTGGAGACATGCTAGTGAAAAGCACTGATTGTAATGAACATATGAAGTCATCTTATGAGACTTGATTAGCTACGGGGAGATAATTCCAATCTCCAATGGTTCTGTGGAAGTAATTTTATTCAGGACCGGATTACCCATTAAGCATGCTAAGCACGTGCTTAGGGCACCAGCTTAACAGGAGCACCATTAAAAAACTCATATTAATTGTTTATTACAGAATTTCATGAATTATATATGACCATTTCGACAAACAAATTGATTTGTCTACATTTTTTACTTTTAATATAGATTTTTTTATAAAAAAAAGTTTTCACATTTTGTGAGGAAACGGGTGGTGGTGTCGAGCACCATGATATTTTCAGTGCTTAGGATTCTGAAGGCCCTAATCCCGCACTGATTCTACTTATAAGTTCCATTGCCTTGGATTTATATGTAAGAATTGGGGTTTCTTGTGACTCGATTGTTATCTCTCTTGTATAAGGAGGAAGTTTCAATGCGTTATAATTTTATGATGAGTCTTTTTACGTTCTGCTGGTTGAACGGGATTACTGATTTCACTATCCGAGTTACACTTGTCTTACTCAGATAAATTTTATAAGAAGATAATTGTTTGATATGTTGTAAATATGTATTGGTGACAACCAGTGGCAATGTATGGGGAACAAAGACATCAGGCCAAAATTCATGTTGAATGTATGTATGTATGTATGTATGTATGTATGTATGTATGTATGTATGTATGTATGTATGTATGTATGTATGTATGTATGTATGTATGTATGTATGTATGTATGTATGTATGTATGTATGTATGTATGTATGTATGTATGTATGTATGTATGTATGTATGTAAGTATGTATGTATGAATGAATATAAGTAGGTAGGTAGGTAAGTAGGTAAGTCGTTAGGTAGGCAGACAAGCAGGTAGGTAGGTAGGTTTAATCAACACAGTGTTGGATATGTTGTGCTGAGGAAACGTTAGGTGGCAAAAAAGTATCGACACCTCTTCCCCACCCAAAATGAAAACAGATCAACTCAAAAGTTCATACCCTCTTAGTCTGAACATCATCATCAAACATGTTGCTTCCATTCTAAACATCATCATCAAACATGTTGCTTTCATTCTGAACATCATCATCAAACATGTTGGTTCCAGTCTGAACGTCATCATCAAACATGTTGGTTCCA